CTGAAATGGGGCTGGACAGGTCACATGATTCCTTGCAAGACCAATAAATGGAGCAAGCAGGTAACCCTATGGTACCCAAGAGATGGCGTCAGAAAACAGGGCCGCCCAATCAGAAGATGGGAAGACGATATCCGCCTAACCTTGGGACCATACTGGATAAAGGTAGCAGCAGACAGAACCCAATGGAAGCAGTTGGAGGAGCCCTATGCCAAAAGGAACACCGAACTGAGGGACTTACTTTAACTAGTATTACAATAGGAACTCAAACACAAGTATTATGTAACCCCAAAGTTCGGAAATAAATGGCTATATTATTATTATTATAAATTATTTACATTAAAAAAATGTAACATTTGATCAAGAATAATTTTTTCAAAAATTTTAGTGTTGGCAGTACAGAAATAGGTCTAAAATTAGCGGGGTCCAATGTACTACCAGATTTAAATAAAGGTATTACTTTATTATGCTTCATTAAATCAGAAAACACACCAGATTCAATACATACCACAGTACAATAAAAATAATAGATAGTTGAGGTGTGATTGTTATCTATTATAGACGCAATAACTTTAACAGAAATCCCCCACAGATCGGCGGTTCTCTTAATATCAATAGTTTAAAATATTTTACAATATCTTTTGATATGTGAAATGTAAAATTCTTTGTACACACATTTACATTTTGCTTAAGTAATGATTCGGCGACGGCAGGAGAAGAATTCAGTGACTTAGTGGTTAAGATCCGAATATCAGTAAAATACTTTTCAAAAATCATTGCAACATTCTGATCTGATTTAGTTAATTTGTTGTTAAAACTCAACTGGTAGTTTGAATTGCGAAAGTTGACCTTACCAGTTTCACTATTAATTATACTCCATGTCATTTTAATTTTATTAGAAGCAGTCTTTATTTTGTTGCTCAAATACAATGACTTGGCTAACGGCCAACGTTTATGGTTGTTGGCGTTGGCCAACACAGTGGCGTATGTAGTGGCCAATAGCATTGGCCAACGTGTAGACGGGGTGTTTGGGCTTCATGTATTGGGACGATGGCCCACAAGTTGGCGCGAGATCCGTGTGGTGTCGTCGGGTTTTTACAAAATATCAAAGGATTGTTGGCAGAGTTTCGTCGCCGCGTCCACACGTTGGCCGCGCGTTTAGTTTGCTACAAGCTCCCAGAGTGATTACACGCATCTGATTTAAATTTTATATTCAAGCTTTGTAGAATGGATGCCCCAATTACCAGCCTTTTAGTGCCAATTTCAACTTTAAACATTCCTACTACTTTAATTAGCGCGATTTAATTATTTTTAAACATTTGTTTTAATCAATTAACCATTTATCAAAAAAATAATGAACATTTATTTACAATCAGATTATTACGAGAACAATTTTATGATGAAAAAAAATGAAGCACGTCGTTTATACGTGGTAGAACCATGCAGTTATATTAGAAGTATAGTTGTAGTACGAATGGGTCGGCTCAACCGGGGAAGGACCACACTTTTACAGAATATTAGAGTAAAATAGTAGCTTAATGATGCTGTGTTTTGTATAGTGAGTGTAGAGAACCAGAGACCCTTTTTAAAGAAAATGAGGCATTTCATCTTAGTACTCACGGGTGAGAACGCATATGCATTTTGATTTGTAATAGAGGATAGATGTAGATGTCTGTGGGCCACAGTAACCACTTACCATCAGGTGAACTGTGTGCTCGTTTGTCACCCTATCCTATAAAAAAAACGTCGACTTCTTATAATTCAATCGTGCAAGTTTTCGAATCATCATCATTACAGCTCTTCACAAGTCCACTACTGAACATCCTCCTCCACAGACTGCCGCAAAGCATGGTCCTGAGCCACTTTCCTTGTCATGAGTTTTTCATTTATGTTCTAAGTTATAATTAGTACCTATTATTAAGTCTGTGTTAATTATATTTATTGCTATTGTTTTTGTCTTTCTTAAAAAATAATTAAATTACCAAATAAATTATAAGGTGTTTTTTATATACATCAAATGTCTGATAGAAATTCAAGTACATATTTTGCTAAACTTTAAAATCTAAACCCAATTTTAAAACATAGACTAATCGATTATAACTCCTTTAACTTTAAAATAAGTTAAGTTCTTATTAATGGTATTTATTCCAGTTTATGATGCATGTAAAGAATAAATAAAGCTAATCGTATATTGTATTTCTATTTACAGCCCCATTAATATCCACTATTCTTTTATAATTATTTTATAAAAACGTAACCCCCACACTTGGATTTTCTCCTGTATCGCGGAGGCAGCTTGCAAACATAAATTGCACAAGGACACACATCCAGACCCCAAACAATTATTTGTAGGATATACAAATACATGTTCCGTGCGGGATTCAAACCCGCGGCCCCCGGCACAGCTACTCATTGCTAAGCCACCGCGCCACGGAGCCGTCATTCGTCCGCACATTGGCCCGAACCGAAGTAAACTGAACGACCTTCCAACGTATGGACGCCGTCACCAACTCTCGGCCAATATATTCGCCACTACATTCGCCACTGTATTGGCCAACGTGTAGAGGCGACATAAGGAGCACACTCTTAAATATTTTGGAATATTTTTTTTACATATTCCCAAAATTCAATGCTAGGATTATGACCTTTCATTGGAAAGTTCATATAACCTTTGTCTACTCTTATGGACTCCTACTGTCGTCCATTCATTAAATGCCTTGCCATTGTTCAAGGAGAATGTTTTAAAAGTAAAAGTATTATTAAATTCATTGCATACAAAAAATTTGGATTATTTTGGTATGAAAGTAAGTAAGTCCTTCTCTATTAAAAAGCATCCTAATTTCAATAGAGAAGGAGGCTGGCTTGGGCCACCTGCTTGGGATCCTATAATCAATAAAATTAAAACTAAACCCAAGCATACCACTGCAAGACCTCAGGATATAGTCAGTTCATTTTGCATAGATCGGACCATAAACAATAATTAAAAAAGCTGAAGGTACTCCGGGTTTAACAATGACATCGGGACGTCAGTCATCTCAGTCCCCTGTGACCATGGGTGCTGGAAAGCGCCCGAAACGTCGGGAATTAAAAATAAAAGTAATTAAAAGTAAAATAATTGCGATAAAATCCATAAAAGTAGTTTTAATCAAGATTTATTCTGTTTATTAAGCTTAGTGAAAATTAAGATCTGACAAGTTGTTTTTGAGTTATCCTTAAATAATGCATATTTAATTGACTAAATACATTGATGATGTTCTCATTTTATTTTTAAATATAAAATATGGTAAAGCCATGCTGCAGTTATATTATGGTTGTAGCATAAATGAGTGCTTGACCGGGGAAGGACTCTCACATAATACCAGCATAAAATAGCAGCTTTAATGCTGCTGTGTTTCATATGGTGAGTGTAGAGAATTGGTGACCTGTTTTACTGGAATTGAGGCATTCCATCTTAGTCCTCAGGGGTGGCAATGCATCTGCAAGTTGATTCTTAATTGAGATTAAATGAATATGTCTATAGGCCACAGCATCCACTTACCATCAGTTGGACTGTGTGCTCGAATGTCACCCTTATTCTATAAAAAAAAATTATATGAAGTCAGTTGAACAAAATTTTTAATTTTATCACTTGTATTGTTCAATCTCACTAGAAAATTCAATGACTGATAATTTGTTAACTTTATTATTTACTATGTAACATATAAGCCCTGTATAATCATAGATATGTTATTAATTTTGTTTCTTTTTTAAATGGTTTAGTAGGCTGTTAAATTGACTTTTTCCCGACATTATAAGAGATATAAATCTGAATCTGTAGCATGAATGGGTAAGCTACATCGGGGAAGGTCCATGCTTTCACAGAATACCAGTTGAAATAACAGAATAATGTTACTGTGTTTTGTATGGTGAGTAGAGAACTGGAGACCCCTATTACTGGTAACAACATATTCCATCTTTGTCATCAGGGGTGGCATCTGCATTTTGATTCTTAATTGAGGATAGATGTAGATGTTTATGGGTCACGGCATCCAGTTACCATAAGGTGAACTGTGTGCCTTTGTCACTATAAAAATTCTATGAAAAAGAAGTTACACTGAAACAGTCTCAGAATTTTAATACACCAATGCAAATTTTATGTCAGTAGTTCCTCAGTCAAAAAAAAATGTTTAACCTTTGGAAACTGTAAATTCAAGAAGGCAGACATTTAATTTGTAATTTTACCTGTAAAATTTTAACACCATTATGGAGTTTTTGTCTTTATAGTTAGTAATTACATGTTGTGTCTAGAAAGGTCTTTCTTAATGGATTTATTTATTCTTAATGTATGTATGACCCAGTAGAAATCTAGTCAGAGCCATAATTTATACTTAACCTGATTATTAATTAGTGTATGGATAGCCAATATTGGTCTCATGGTTGCTTTCTTTCTCTATGTAACCTTCAATCTGTGCTTTATTAAATAACATAAATTTAATGAGAAAATTTTATATATTTTAATTTTTTAATATCAGCATCATACTACTAATGAAGGAGTATAGGAATAATGATTTGCACATTTTATTCATTTTGTAATTGATCCTCAAAAAGCCTTTACTTAAACATGTGCAAGAATGTATTATTTTCTATTAATTATATAGGAATATTTTTAATACATTAATTATTGAAAGGGTCCTAAGTGACTTTCTATTATCTTTTACATTACTTTGTACATATTTGAATCATATTTATACATCTACTGACCAGAAAAAGGAACCTTTTTATCTGTACATACATAGTATAATAGTGAGCCAGAAAATAGAAATGCCTTCTCATGAATGCTATAATAGTGCATGGTGGTTTAGATATGATACAGCTTATATTAACAAAATTTGCAATAATCCACCTGGTTATCTCAGAGAAGTGATTAAACGCCCAATCTGTTATTATATAGGATGTCTTACTCTTTAAACCTTAACATGATAGTTGATTACATGTGGATTAATTTATTATGTGTTTTATTACAGAGAAAAACGAGCTCTATGGTCATGGCAAAAGGCAAGAGCTTCAATTGCATCCCGTTGGTGTTGGTTACAAGCACAAGTACAGGAGTTAGAGTACAAGATACGGCAGCACAATGATTTGCATAAGCAGGTGTGTATAAAATGCTTTAAAATTACTGGGTTGCACCATATCGACATAGGTGCTGCTTTGTAAAACATATTGAAATTTAGAATTAAATAAAATTATCGGAATAGGAGTGGTTAGCCACTCATGTTAAATAAAATACTTTTAATTCAGTCAAAATAAAGCTTTCTTTGTTGTAGGCATTGTATTTCTTGTGGAAAATTAAACATCTGCGTTTATAATGATTAATTTTTTCTGCTTTCTGTCTAAAGCGTTTATATTGCATGTGGGCAAAAAATGTAATTATTTGAGCTAAGAAGTTTTCTCAAAAAAGTCCAGAAAACCCATGATGCTTCTGATGACCTTGGGAAGTGACTGTGCTAAGATTCTTAACCCTGCGTGTTGGAACGACTATATGTAACACCTATCTTAAACCTGTTTGTTAATAATAGACATGAACATGTCCAGTTATGTCTCTTACAATTCTAATCAGGGGTTTGCTCAGTTGTATATATGTTGTGTATTGTTGTGTTTCGGAAATGCTACAGTTTTTTTCAGACAAAGCTTGCTTTGCTTGTCTGCGCTCCTTATGGCTAGTCCAAACTACTATGCCATCTAGTGCTGGTCGTTGAGCTAGTTTGTCCACATTGTTTCCTCTAAATCCACTGTTACCTTTAATCACACTGTTGAAGTAACAAACCTTGTTTAAACATATTTTTTCCATGTACATTCTTAGCCAAAAAAAAATGTGCTGTGCATTTCTAGTAATGTGTGCATGAGAATGTTAAGTAGGGATGGGCCGCATATGGATTTCACCGAATACGAAACTATACGAATATAATATTCGGTAAAAATTTTACCGAACCGAATATTCGGCCGAACATTATTCGGCAGGATAACCTCGGGACTTAACCAATTTATGTCGAAACTTGTTACCGTAAAGTACACGGGATTAGCGCCGGACCCTGCCTCTCACTTCCCGCCACACCTGACATGTTATTGCATTATCTAGTACTGAGCAAATTGCCGGCACATGCTTATGTTTTGACTATTCTTGTGATAAAAAGTATTCGTTGTTTTATTCTTAATTAAAGTTAAAATTATAGCCTATATACGTCCCACTCCTGGTCACAGGCCTCCGCTCATTTCTGAGAGGGTTGTAGGGCAAGGAATTGTCCACCGCATTGCCCCAATATGCTTGTTGGCGAACTTTACATGTCTTCGAAATAATTTTTTTCTTATTTCTACGACATGCAGGTTTCCTCATGATGTTTTCAAAATTTTTGTAAATCAGCACTTAAAATTGCAATTAATAATTTCATTGGTGCCAGCGGGGATCGAACTCGGTTTGGTCATGCACTGTGAAATTTACAGAGAGCGCTATTTACTATTTGGACTTATTTTAGAGAAACTGACAACCAAAGTAAAGTGAAATGTACTAATGTAATTTAATGTTTCTTTGTTTGATTCCAAAAACATTTTATCAAGTTTCTATTTGCCATAATCGGAAATAAATCCACAGTACCACAATTTTTAATTGTGTGTTTGCCTAATGAAGCATGCCTAGAATTTGTTTCTATTTATTCAAATACAAAAAATTATAGAATAATTGATGGTATATCCATTAGGAGGATATAATGATTTTTGGAGCACAAAATTTTCCAAATGGCGCAAAAGTATGACGTCCTATACTGTCCAATGTTTTGGAACGAATCACCAGTATAGCGTCGATTCATGACGTCATTTGCATTGGACAGTACACTGCGTTGTATTTCGGAACATACCCTTGATCACATAGACTGAGTAAGAGGTAGTAAGTGGAGGTTGAATTTAAAATAATTATATTCTTTGTATAATAAAAATAATAACAGTCTTTATTCAGATCTTTTGATTACCTTCATTATTTTTAACATTAACATAGGTTATTAATTTTAACCATTTAAAGTATCAGTAACTTACACTCTACAATGCGGTCTTTAAGGAGTATGCTAGGGCTGAATCTGAATGAGAGGGTGAGAAATTGTGTGATAAGAGAAAAATGTGTTGTGCAAGATGATGGATGTGACCAGGATTAAGAAAGGAATGCTTTGGTGGTTTGTTCATGTAGAAAGGAATGAACGAAAAAAGCATGAAAAAGCAAATTTATATTGCAAATGTGAACAGCAGAGTTAAGAAGGGACACCCTAGATGGAGTTTTATCAACCAAATTGGCAATTTTTGTAAATGGGCTACATTAGGAGTACCCTTAACCAACGAGCTTGCATGCATAAGATTTATGGTTGTAAAGGAAGTGAGAGAGGTGTGTCACAATCGTGCCAAATGGAAGTCTGTAGTCTCTACCTACCCCTCTGGATGACAGGCGTGAGTGTGTGTACAATAGCATAATGATGATATAAATTAAATTATAAAATTACATTACACTCTTAATATACTTTGTAATTATTCGTTTTATATTAACAAATAAAGATTTTTCCCTGGTTCTTCTTCTTGGCAAAGGCTTCTCCATTTCTCCTCCACTTCTCCTCCACTGTTCTATGTTCATAGTCTTGTCCATTTTTTTCCTACAATTTTTTCCAACAAATCAAAGGCTACAAGCTCGCAAACCCGCCTGCACTCGGCAAGTCGCGTCCACATGTTAGTCGCCCATGTGAGTTACAGCTTAGCGTCCGTCCTGGTAAAATATTGCAACTTTTAAATAATTTGGACAATTTCACTATACTAACAAGGACATCTTTAAGTTTTTTAACTTTACTGTGGAGTACACTGACAATAATTATATGCACTTATTAAATAAATAGCAGAAGCTGCAATAACTTACGTCGTCCATATCATACCAATTCTCAATGACAACTAATTATGGCCAACATGTATAGATAGCTCCAAAAACTCTGTGAACATTGGCCTTGGAATTGGTCTCTCTCGAACTAGACCAACATGTAGACTGTAGCACTCGCCTTGTACCAATTTGTCTACGCTCGCGTCGGCTGAGGCTTGGCCAACATGTATTGCCGTTGTAAAAGATAAAGTCACTACGATGCACAGAACCAAGAACATTATGCGTCAAAAGTCCGAAATAAACTAACCTTGCACTCTATGCACAAGTCGACAATTTTTATCAGTTCACTTAAAATGTTACAAATACATACCTACAATAACACTTGTATTCCTCTAAAACAATGTCAAGTGGGTACTCACATGTTAATTTATAATGCATACAAATATCTCAAAGCATACTTAAGATAACAACTTTGTTACTCAAAATTAACAGGTGGGTTCATTTTTTTGGAGGCCAGTGTAATTTTGTTAAAATAAATGCCACCCTTATTTTAAATAACGGAATGGTTGTAGAATGGTTTCAAAATGTAGCTTATAATTTTTTTTACGTACGTATTTGATCATTCTGGTCTTTAAAAATTTTTTTTTTAATAACCTGGGTTAAATGACCTAATTGTTCACAATTGACATGTATGTCTATTGCCTTTGATGGTGGCCAATTTTCATTGTTGTGTTGTGTGTGGTGTAAGTACTTCATTGCTCATCCTTGCCCCTGAAATGCCGTTTTGACAATTTTATATAGTGTATTAGTAATAGTTATACACCACTTATTTTTCGTAATATTTTATGTTTTTATATTACTAATTATTTCAGGTCCGCGATGCCAAAGGTCCAGTAGAGTTAGAAGGTGAGCCAGTTGGCTATGAAGGCTCTCTACCAGGAAATGATGACGACATCCCTGCTACTTGTGCTAGAGTACGTCCTCTAAGACGGGATACATTTAAGAAGAGGAAACTCTTGCAAATGCATAATCTGCATATCGCAACACCAAAGGCTGCTAAACTCTCCGATATTAAGTAAGTTTGACTTAAAATATCTATATGTAGCATTATACACTCACCGGCACGGAAACTTGGCCAAGCGGTTATCTCGCGATAGCAAAAGCTTTAAGTGTTTCTGATGAATGTTTGTTATGCAAGTATGTCAAAAAATGTTTACCCTCAAGTTCAAGAGGGTAATTCATTATGTTTAAGTGCACCATGACGAATTCTTTAATTTTTAATTGAATCGGGTCATTTGAGCGACTAAGTTCACATTTTAAATTTGTGTGTTGTGAAAAGTTTACTGTAAGGTTATTCAATTATTGTGATCTTGTGTCTTAATTAAATAACTAAAGGTGCTTTAAAGCCAATAAAAATGCCATTAACACCAGCACAAGTTGCACAAGCAGTAGCATTAATTGACCAAGGGCTGACACAGCGTGAAGTTGCTATTGTGCTTAACGTACCACGGTCCTCAATGCAGTATTCACTGAAACGATACCAGAAGACAGGCCGCTACACCCGCAGGCCACGCAGTGGGGGCGTAAGGTGCACATCGGCCCGAGACGATCGTTTTATTGTTATGGAGATTTTGAGAAACCGCTACCTGACTGCTGTTAAGATACGCCAGCGGCTCCAAATCGCAAGAGGCGTTAATGTTAGTGAGCGTACGGTGAGAAGACGAATGGAGGAAGTGAATTTAAAAGCTCGTAGACCAGCACGAGGTCCAGAACTTCTCAGACAGCACCGAGTAGCCCGACTTCAGTTCGCAAGAGAACATGTCAATTGGACCCACGAGCAATGGGCTAGAGTGTTGTTCACAGATGAGTGTCGAATAGCTTTACGTGCTCCAGACGGTCGAGAACGAGTGTGGAGAAAAAGAGGAGAGAGGTTTCTACCCATTACCACCACCCAAACTGTGAGTTTCCATGGAGGCTCAATAATGGTATGGGGAGGTGTAAGTTCCGACGCACGTACATAGTTGGTCATCGTCGATAATCGGCTTACAGCTACTCGATACATCGAGGAAGTTCTTCAGGAGCACGTAATGCCTTATTCGGGATTCATTGGACACGACCAATTCCTCCTCATGCACGATAATGCACGCCCGCACGTCGCACATTGTGTAGAGGAATATCTGGAAGAGGTTGGAATACAAAAATTACAGTGGCCAGCTCGTAGCCCGGACTTAAATCCAATTGAGCATGTATGGGGTATGCTCAAAAGAAAGATAAAGTCCAGCTCCAAACCGCCACAAACTCTAAATGAGCTCCGAAATGCAGCGCTGGCTGCTTGGGACAGCATACTGCAAGTTGATGTCAGAAACATCATTCAAAGCATGCCAGATCGAATGCAAGCGGTTATCAGGGCTAGAGGAGGAAACACCCGATATTAAAACTGATAGCCAATAAAGAAACAGACTTAATTTTTAACTTTGTAGTGTTTTTAAAGTGACAATGGAAAGATGTTAATTTTAGTGAAAACATGTTATTTTGAAAAGAAAAATTTCGGTGAAGTAAACATTAAATTTCTATGTTCTAAAACCATTAGAGACACTTATTGAATGCATCTACCCTTAATTTACTGTTAAAAAAACGTTTCAGTGCAAATAATCAGCAAATTCACGAGTGGCCAAGTTTCCATGCCGGTGAGTTAAGTTGTAGATTGGTCTTCAAAATTAATGTTCTCCAGACAGAATTTTGTCAGTCTTAACGGAGACAAGCTGTTTGCACAGGGCAGGATTATAGTGCCTGAGTCCAACAATATGAGATAAAACACATTCAGAGATAGATCAAGCTTTACATCGTTTACAAGGCAGAATTTCTTATAGACTGTAAAACTCAACAGATTTTTGACCGACCCGAAATTAGAAGCCGGGACCACATGATCAGTAGTTACGTTTACAACCACTAGACCAACGAGGCACTTTTTCGCTTAAAAATTAGAAAGACAAAACAAAATAATATGAATAGAGAGATGAGAATGCCATAAAGCATTTAAGTCCCCCCTTAGTAAACCTTAGTTGATAGTGTTTGCAATGAAGGATAAAATAATAAATATTTGGTGGCTATTATAATTTCCAAATGTTTTTTTACGATCGAACGACGAAATTGCAAAAATTTCTCCTAGATAGTTCTAAGGTGACAGAGTTAATAGTTATGGCATGTTGAATAGATGTGACAAAGTATTCCATTTTCCAGACAACACGAAGAAGGTGTTGTCGCCCCATTGCCCGGATATTCATCATGGCCCATGACTAGTCCAGTCTTTGGAGCCTATTCTAGGCGTAGTTGGTTAATACGGATTAGTCCGTAGTCAGATAAGATTTTTCCCGTAGTCTGTTAACTACGGGAAAAAAGGAGGTTATCCAGTAAAAGTCTAAGTTGGCCTTGAGGATTGTTACTCGACTCTCTAATCGCTATAGAGAGAGTTCTCTTGGAAAAGGTCGCCCGTCCGGAGGCCGGGTATGCAACGTCGCGAAGCTGTTGAGGTGTTCGTGTGGCCCGTTGTCGGCGCGGTCAAAATGCCGCGCGCCAGGTGGGCCACGAAGTCGGTGAAGGGATCATAGACTCACACAACAATTCCCCCCCACATGGTGGCAGCAGGTCCAGCAGACGCTGCATCCTGGCAGTGGCTATGTGGGCTCTTCTGGACGAGGTGAAATAGGCGCTATCGTCCGCATATAGCGCCAGCTCAACGTCGTCCTCCCACTCTTGGAGCCTGCCTGCCAGTGTTGGGATGTCGTTAGTATAAGCCGCGTACAGGACTGGAGACAAACAGCTGCCCTGTGGAACGCCGGCTCTGATGGATCTGGTTGCGGACTCGGCGTCCTCTACGCAGACGTAGAACTTCCTGTCTTCCAGGAAAGACGCCACTAGCCGCAACATAGCAGGAGGGACACTGGTCTGTTCATTCAGCTTATAAAGTAGTCCTAAGTGCCACACCCGGTCGAACGCCTTCTCGATATCGAGAAAGACGCCCAACGATATGCGGCCACGATTGTACTCAGCCGCAAGCAGGTGCAGCAATCTAGTCAACTGTGTGACTGTAGAGTGACCCCTCCTGAATCCGTGCTGCTCCGCCCGAAGTTGTATGCACGGACGGAGACGTCTTAGCAGCAATCTTTCTAGCAGTTTAGCTATGTGCGGTAATAGCGTGATCGGCCTGTAGCTGGCAGCTCTACGCCTGTCCTTCCCGGGTTTCGGCAAGACGATGACTTTGCCTTTCTTCCAGTCCTCTGGGACGTGGGATGTCCGCAATATCCCATTGTAGAGTCGACCAAGCTCTACTAGGACTCTATTGGGCAGCAGCGGAGTGCAGCGTTGGTAATCCCATCGTGCCCCGGCGCCTTCCTCGGTTGCAGGCGGGTTACTGTCCTCCGCAGTTCAGCAGAGGAGATGAACCACTCTCCTGCAAGAGGCGGCGCGGGCGACGACAGGAACTCCCGTACGCGACTTTCCTTCCTGGCATGAAGCTCCATGAACTCCGCACTTGCTGGGTTCGGTATAAATTGCTCCTCGAAGTGCTCGACAGATAAGAGGATATCCGCTCTGCCCTTGGCATCGTAGCAGCGTTCACCCGCGCTGTTGGTCAGCGGGCAAACGGGTCCGACGGGTTTTGGTCAACTGTCGGTTCAGTTTATAGAGCGACGCATCATGCTCATGCGCCGATCCCAGGCCTCTCCTCTGAAGGCAAGGCCTGGACTGCAACCGACAGTTCCTCCGATAAGGTGTTGAGTTGCTTTTTTATCCTGGGGCAGCGAGTACGCGCCCAGAGCTTTCTCAACGCTCTCTTGCGCCTGATCTGCACGCATATCTCTCGCGGCAGATCGTCTCGCCTTGCAGTAATCGGGACGATCGTAGAGGCCGCGTGGAGGGCCTCCTGGATGTTTTTGGTAATTCTAGTAGCAGCGGCCACTACGTCGTCCGCTGTGCTTATGGGATGGTGGACTGAAGGTCTCTCCTGCAGATGTTGGCAATAGAGAGCCTCCAGTCGACACGTGTCTTGAATGCTCTGGGCGGCGTTGTCACCGCCTTTAGGCCAAGGGTTATCAGAATCGGGAGGTGCTGTGAGGAGAGGTCGTACAACACTTCTACCACTATCGGGTAGTTGTACGTTCCTAGTGAGTACGATATCCAATACATCCGGACGTCTCCGTGGGTCAGATGAAACGTGAGACGGTTCTTCGGGACCTAATACGTCATAGCTGTTGTTCTCTGCATCTTCGTAAAGTTCAAGACCCGGGGGGGTGATCACTCTGGACCCCCACGCCGGGTGTTTGGCGTTTAGGTCCCCGGCGATGATGGTGGGTGTTTTGCCTTCCATCACCGTCCGGATGTCTGAGGAGCAGAATGGAGTCCCTGGCGGGCGGTATGCTGCCTAGATCCTTAGTTCCTCGCCCGCCGCCTCCATTCTTATGCCGATAGAGCGCATAGTCTGGTATGGTGGTAATTCCAGCTCTTGGTGGACGATGTCCCTCCTCACCAGAACCGCCGTCCCTCTGTAGGCGGCCCCTTGAGAAGTGACCTCGTCCCTTCTGTACAGGTGGTAATTCGGCAGCTTAATATGCGTCTTTGGGTTTAACTTCGTCTCTCCCAGCAATATGATGTGCAAGTCCTGTTGTTGGCGACTGTGCGAAGTTCATGCAGCTTCTGCTGTATTCCGTCCGGGTTCCAATAGAGGAGGCGCAGATTACTCTCCTCCGTAATGCCGGGCCAGTAAGTTTGCCAGCGCCTTCATTATCGCCGTCACTGGATCTGTCCCGGCTCTGATGTCGGCCAGGACTTGTGTGCCGACCTCGATGGCAATACCAACCAAACGTTGGATTGCATCTGCTGTTTCGAGGTGTGAAGGTCTCCTGTATGAAGGCGTGGGTACTGGTCTCGGGTGTTGATGATCCTGCACTCTTGGCTTATGGGTAGAGCGCGCTCTACCTGTAGAGCGGGCTCTATGTTCAGGTAGAGCCCTTTCTGGCACTCTACCCACGCTCTTTTTGGTTGTCTCCAGAGTAATCTGCGCCTGTGAGGCTACTGGTCCAGTTGGTGTCGGGGTAGAGGTAACAGCCTGAGGAGGCAGCGACTTCTTCCTGCTCCTTTCCCGCCTCCTCTTTTTGGAGGGTTGCCGTTCTGTGGAGGGTTGGCGGGGGGCTGTAGAGTCGCCCCGGTGGTTGCCCTTGTCTCTACGGGTTCCACCGTTTCCATAGGTGTTACGGGTGGGGGTGGGGCTGGTTGCCTACCCTTCCCTGTGATGGTAGCCCACCCGTCTTTTTGGATGGTTACAGCTTTTGGGCGACTCTGGGGGATCTTTTTCGGGTCCTCCGGGAGTAACCGACTTTGTAAAGGTCCTGGAGCTGCTCCAGGCTCAGGTGGTCGAATTGGGCGAAGTAGATGCAGCCAGGTCTGCCTCTACGAGGTGGGATTGCCTTCACATATTTAACGGGGAAGCCCTTTGCCCTTATAGCCTCCTCTATGGTTTTGGTGTCCGTGCCCATTGGTAGACCCCGGATGCCCACTTTAGTGTGCTTGTCTTCCTCCGGGGTGTAACAATACCACGACAGTGTTGGTGTTTCCTTTGATAGTTCAACCATGTACCGCTAAACGGTTCTGAACTCATTGGCACTTTGCGGTGTAAACTGTACGCCTTTTCCGAACGGACGGGCATTTAAAGGGTGGCCCAACATTCTGTTGAGCTCCTTAAAATGCCTCGTCCAATCCGGGAGGCATTCAGCCACTATGGGCGGATATCTAGTTTTTTCTTGGTCGGCAGGCTTATCAGCAGGCACTGCCGCCGGTTGAGGTCGTGGTACTGCTGGTGCAGCTACCATATGGGCATAGCTGGTAGATGGCCGTTGGCCATCATCCTGCGGGAGCCCGGACGGGTTGGTTGTTGCCACCGGCGATGATCGGCCGGCGGATGCTGCGAGGGTCGCGTAGTTGGTTGACCCCCAGCTATAGGATTCCTCACCCCCTTCTCGTACTGGGCCGAATCATGGCTTCGCCGATCCGGAGATACGGAGCGGGGGGGGGGCCTGGGGTGGTGAAGGTGACTTTGGTGGCGATCTGTGCACCTTCTTCGTCGTCTCTTGGTGGTATTCTTCATCTTCCGATGTGGATGGTGGTTCATCGGAAGATAGCTGGGAGCCAATCCGTTGCCTCTTTTCGTATAAAGAGGCTTCGGATTCTGGAGACGTGTGGCGTCTGGCCGTTTTCTTTGCCCGCTGCTGCTGGGGCGACGGTTCCTGCCTGACCGTGTGCTCAGACACGGCCGGCGTGAGCGCGACGCCTGATGCGGGCTCCTTCCGCGGCGAGACGGGTTTCCTCATGGGTATCTGGGAGAATGATGACACCGTTCTGGTGCGCTCCGGGTTCACCAGATCCCTGATGACTAAAGGTCTCTCTAACACTCCTTTCTTATCCGGTGGTACTTTTGACTTTGGGGGAGGCTCCCCCTTGTCCCTACCTGACATGATGTTACCTAACCTAACACCGTCAGTTGTATTCGAAAGGCCCTATCTATGATATGATGGTGATAAAATAGTAAGTGGTTTTCCACACTTGGGGCACTGCCTACCCCTTTTGCAACAAAAGGGTTGGGGGAAGTGCGATGGTGGCACTTTAATACGCGACTGGGCACAAAATGCACGGAACGCATAAAGTGCCAAGAATCTGCCTAGGGGCCGGTGACCTCGACGCCTCACGGAATCACGGGACTCAACGATCGGCGGAGTATGTCGTACCGGCGGCTGTATGTGTTCACTGCTAAACAACAAACAACGCACACCTAGGAGATCCTTGATGTGAGCGAAATTACGATTTTGTTTATATTTAAGACATAGCAGGACTGCCTGGTGATCCGTGACAGTAGTTTGTTACAATGGTGATAGTTGGGTTTTTAGTTTTTAACATCACATGATCAAGGTATGTCCTGCCATGTATCATAGGGAATGTATGTGCTGGTAGAAGACAGGGAAAGGAACAGAGATTTAAGTACTTGGATTGTGCCACAGAGATTTGATCGGGGCAGATATCAATGTTAATATCACCATTGATAACAATATTTTTAAAAAGAGATAAATCTTAAATCTTGTAAAGTATTGTTGAGAGATTGCAGAAAGTTATCAATATATTTGAATAAAGGGCATCTATAAATGGCAAGAATAGCTGTTTGTTTACCAATTTTCATAATTAAACAATTTGAGTCCTGACAACTGGGTTCTTCTACAGTAACATTGAGGTTAGATTTAATGTGGGAGGTTAGATCTAATGTGGGCGGTTACACCATCGTTTTAGGTAAACAACCTCTTGGTTGAATATGATCTGTATCCGTCTAGGTTTGGAACAAAAGGACAGCAAGATAACCAGCATTCCGTCAAGACAACAATGTCACACTCGATCTTAAGCCTTATTCAACATGGTGAGTAGATTATCAAAATTAGCGGAGAGACTACATATGTTTTGTGTAATATTAGTGAGGCTTGTTGTTGGGTGTGTAATAAATTTATGGCAGTCATCATCACAATTCAGAGACAGATAGTTTATCTATTTCTAAGGAAATATTGTCCATTAAGGTGTGAGATATATAGAGCATATGCTCATGTAAGATAGACCAAAACATTTTTTATATGCAAGGGCTATATTATTATGTCCAATATTTTTCAAATTAGCTGGATATAACACATAATTATGAAGGAAACATTTTATGGGGATATTTGTTTGTATAGACTTCGTATAATTAAATAATAAATTATGAGGGAAAGTATTTTGAAACCGAATAATTATATTGATTTTAGTAGTGTGTATTAGTTGAAAGTAAATAAAATTTATAAATTGCGTATAATTAATGTAACATAGTATAACATAAATCAACTTAATAAATATTAAGAAATACAGATGAAATATTGTTTGAGCAACGGTTACTGAACTCATAAATAGTACAACAGAAATATTAGTAATGATTTTAAAAACTAGTCAGTTTGGGGATACCTTTAATTTGGCAAGATCAGACTCTTCCAGTATACGAATGTGGGGCATTCCTTCTTTCTTACGTAGGTAGATTTTTCTTATGCATATTATATGGGTTAGCCAAATCACTCGCCAGAAAAAATATTCATTTTCCCTTTGCAGTGAGACTTTCCGAAATGAATAAGGTTTTTTTTGGGCTATTTTTGTCAAATAGACCTGTATTCAATTTATTTCTTTTTTTTCCATACTTAGTTTTTTAAGGTTGTACAACATACTTTCTTTAGTATGTACTGAATTCAACTCAACAATAATTGGCTTGATAGTGTCCTTTTTAGCGAAAGGTCAGTAGACATCTTTTATATTGGTAGTTTGAAGTTGTAAATTTAAAACATTACCGATTTTTTCACAGCGTCTGAAAGTACCTGCTTAGTTTCATTTGGAATTTTTGGTACATTTCTTATTTCTAATTTCGTAGAACAGGACTGTCTCTCCAAGCTATCCACCTTATTTTCAAGTTGCTTAATGTAGGAAATGTTTTCTTTACGTTCCCGTCGAAAAGATTCCAACTCATTTTGCAAATCGTCGTACTTGCCAAATAAAACAGACATTGCCAAGTTTATACTCCCATTTTGACTTTTTAATTTCGGACAAAATCAACTCCACAGTTTCTAATCTGACTTTTTGCTCAGAGACAAATTTTGATAACATATCTCGTACCTCTTCCGTGAAACTAGAAAGCTCATTTTCTCTTCCTTTTCAAACGCCCAATGTTTATATTCGTATTTCTGTCGATCGATTGTAAATCGGAAGTACTACCATCCATGCATTCCGAGTCAGTCTCTGATACAGAGGGCTTTGACTTGGTGGGCTGCGTTTAAGCGGCATTGAAGCTTTTTATAGTAATAATTTATGTTAAAATTTAGCAATCGAAGTACTGAGATAACAAGCAGCGTAGCGGCAATATTAAGTAAAGCCAGATGTTACAGTAATAAGCGGAATTACCAGGAGCACGATTATGTACCTCCTACTTTAGTAGTGGTGACTTTGTGCGTTCGCAAATTGGTCAAGCGCAGTGACGCCCTCTCCGGCAAGTAGTAGGCAGTGGGTGGACGTTGACCTCTGGGTGGGATGATGAATCACTGGGGTGTGGTAAATATCGCGCTTGCCGCAAAAAGAGCTCCTTTATATCTATGCACTCCTATTATTGTTTCTTGAATATTTTCAGTTAAAATTATTTAAATAAATAATAAAAAAAACGCAATATGACATACACCGTCCGTAAGAATAAGTTTAAAAAACCTCCTGACAACAACTCAATAAAGAAACTTATTGCCGAGATGCCTGCCAAGTACGACAACCATGGCAAATATGGAGGGTGTTTGCCATGGCAATATGATGCAATCTAGGAGGACTGAAGTTCAACATTAGACTTATGATGGGCTGCATGAATAAATGATGTATAAATTGTTTTTCAGATGTAGCTGTCGTCAGCCATTGGAGAGTTGTGCAGTTTGTACAGGACGAGTGGAAGCAACGCAACCGCAAGTCTGGTGTACGTTACCACCTGCCCAACGAATCGCTCTTGTCGACCCAGGATACCACCCAGTTCTCAGTGATGTAAAAGGTAAAGGAACTAGGTTGAAGAATGCTTGTCAAACTTGACTTAGGTGATTAGTACTTAGTAATATTCATTCATATTATGAATTAGTTAATAATTATATTGACAATTTTTTAAAACGAAACCTTGTTTGCAGAGGTACTAAAATAGCCCTTGTTTACATATACTCAGTTATGAATTTTCAAGTATAGAAAGTGAGTGCAAGCTATTTGAAGTGTAGGTTTGCTTTGCGAAAACTAATGTAAATATGGAAGCAAATGCGAATCTCTTTGATGAATGACAAAATAATTTTTTATACTAATCTAAAGTTCATAATTATATAGTATTGTAAATAGGAGAAGGTTTAATAATAATCATCCACCAAGATATTGCATCAATAATACGACGAGGAAACCTAAAAACTATAGATCTTAACAAGTTCATTGCCAATATTGCGATGTTGCGTATCCACTCCTATTAAATTTGACCTATTTTGCATGAAAAAGCTATTAATATTTTTTATGAAATGTACTAAGTGAAACTATGAAAACAATAGGAATGGATTGAAAAATATAATTAAATTATTGGAAAAGGAGTGTGATCATTTGAATCATATGAGGTGACTTGAAAAGTATATACATAATACATACATAAACACTCACGCCTGTCACCCAGAGGGGTAGGCAGAGACTACGGACTTCCATTTGGCACGATCCTGACATACCTCTTTCGCCTCCTTTACATCCATATATCTACGCATATATGCTCGTCGGTTAAGGGTACTTCTAACGTGGCCCATTTTCAAAATATCGCCAATTTGGTCGATAAACTTTTTCCTAGGGTGTCCCTTCCCGACACGGCCATTCACATCTGCCATATAAATTTGCTTAGTCACTCTTTCCTCATTCATTCTTTCTACGTGACCAAACCACCGAAGCATTCCTTTCTTAATCCTGGTCACAACATCATCTTGCATACCACATTTATCTCTTATCACGCAATTTCTCACCCTGTCATTCAGATTACACCCTAGCATATTCCTTAAAGACCGCATTTCTACAGCATTTATTCTACTTTCGTGCTTCTTCTGCCACACCCAGCTTTCACTACCATACATTAAAGTAGGGACTAACACAGCATTATGAATTACCATACGTGCCTGTTTTGACAAATTCTGGTTCTTCATAATAGAGTGTAGTGCCCCATTCACTCTATTCCCTGCATTTACTCGTCGTTCTATATCCCTATCATATCTACCATCCCTGCTAAATACACATCCCAAATACACAAACTCATCCACTTGCTCAATCAACTCTCCTTCTATTCTTATTTCACATACCGTTTTGCTTTCTTCTCTTTCAAAAACCATCACTTTCGTCTTACTTGCGTTCACTTTCATTCCCCTTTCTTTTAATTCCCAGTTCATTAATGTAACCATCATTTGCAACTCTGCCGCCGATGACGCAAGTATGACTTGATCATCGGCATACAAAAGGCATTTGACTGTTAACTCGCCCATTCTTAACCCACATTCTTCATCTTTCAAAGTTTGCAAATACCGGTCCATAAATAGGTTGAACAGCCAAGGGGAAGCCACACAGCCCTGTCTGACACCTTTTTGGATGCCAAACCAGTCCGAGTAGACCCCATTGATCCTGACACAAGCACTAGAGTCCCTATAAAGAGACCTTAATGCCTGTATCAAACCAGCGCTCAACCCATATGAGTTCAGTGTTTGCCATAACACATTTATGTCCACTCTGTCATAAGCCTTTTCCAAGTCCATGAACGCACAAAAAACTTTCTGGTTTTTGGCCAAAAACTTCTCCGCAATCATGCGCATGGAAAAGACTTGATCTGTACACCCCATTCCCTTTCTAAAACCCGCTTGCACATCCCAAATTTTTCCATCAGTTTCTTTCATAACTCTTTCAATTAACACCTTAGCATACAGTTTTACAGAAAAGTATATATGAAAAACAAAAACAATATATTAAAAATATTCTACCATATGCCCGTTACACTTTTGTGGATGTCGTAAGAGGTGACAGAGGGAAGCTGAAACAGGAGATGATAGATAGCAGAATCTTACTGGTAAATATTTCTATGGGGCAATCCATGGGAGAGACCTAAGTTTGAAAGTGGACTTTGATAAGCTGTAAATGTAATAGTGATGATCGTAATACATTATGATAATCAAAGACTATATAACCACTTGACTGCGCATACAGTGCCCCGACGCTCGAAAACTATTAGTATTTTGTCGCCTATGCATAGGCTATGGTGGTATTATTAACCATTTTAGTATTGTCCAAGTGTTAGATCTGTGTGCACGCTAAATTAATGCAAATTTTTATAACTTTTAAGCAATTATATTGCATCAAAATGCCTTCATGCGCGGTGAAGTGGTGTGGGAAACATTTCCAGGACAGATGTCCAAAAAGAATGGAGTAACTTTTCATTGCTAAGTAAAAAATACGAAAATTATCTATCTAAAACGGTGACTGGGTAAATGACGACAAAGTTGAGTCGCGCGTTGATGTCTTTTGGAAAAGTCTCGTCCTATTATTAGACAATTCTAATGCTTCTATCCCTTTCTTTCCCTTTGTATGTGTATCGTAAACAGTACTTACCTTTAATAGCTGAAAGTCGATATCGAAAATAATAAAATTAAAATTAATAAAGGTTATTCAATTCACACACTGTGAAAAAATACTTACTTACTTTTAACAGTCTTTTGAAAAAAAGAGGAGGTTCTCAGTTCGTCGGTATTTCTTGCTAGTTAAAGTTTATAGTTACCTAGTTAAATTAGTTAGATTGGTGTACCAAATCAGAACGCCTTACAGTTTCAAAAGGACACTAAAGACAAGTTATTGTACGGATCCACTACAGTAATAGATATTTGTCGTCGTTGTAAAATATTTATTAAGAGGGCGATCAATGAGAGTACTTCAAAAGTCTTCGAAATTTAATCCTATACCTTTAAACGAGCAATTCTTGTATGTATGTATATATATATATATATATATATATATATATATATATATATATATATAAATGTCTTTTTGTCTGTGTTTTTAGGCAATGAAAAACTGCTACAATATCGTTAGAATAAGAAGGTAAATTTTGACAGTTTATTAATGATTACAAATAGCTTAATTGGTATATTGGGCAGTCACAAAATCGTAATACCATGGTTCGAGCCCAGACCGACCGACCGACTTTTTTTAAGTTTTTTTTTCAAGTTCCTTTCTTTTTTGAGAAAATCTATTTTTTCGAGCCCTTTTTTTTAGTATTTTTAAAACCACGAAAATTTAAATTAAACTAATTGCACTCATGATTTTTTATTCAAATAACCAGTTCAGTTTTTTATATTATGTCGCTAAGATCATAAAATATTATTCGTATTTCATCAGTATGTAATTTGTATCTAAATATAATTTCCAAAACACACGAATAAAAAAAAACCGAGCGAAAAATACCGAGCAAAGCTCGGTCAACCGGGTACTACCAATTATTTTATAAGATCGGTTTTAAAATCTTTGGGTATTATTGATCAATTTGAAATAGAATCAACAAATCATTTAATTGAATTAGCAAGATGCATAGTTTACAAATATGTAGACGATTGTTTATATTTTTTTACAAAGAACAATCAGGACCCTTAAACTTTAATTCGAAATAAATATAACAAATTAATTTATTTTAAAAATCAATAATAATATAATAAATACATGTTTTCGTTGTAACTGATTGATTTTGATTAAATATTATTTCTATGATTTTAATTGAGTATTTTTCATAATGATAAAATCGATTTTATCGATATCGAATATTTCCTTTTATTAACCCTTTACTGCATGAATTTTTTAAATCCTTTGGAAAAAATATTTGTCACTATAGGGAATATATAGCGCCCCAAAAAATATTTAAATAAATATAGAACACCATTAAAAAAAGATAAATAAGTAAAAGTAATTGTTCCAAATATGGAACACCGTGCATTCTAGTTCTATAACTTAGACGTTCCATATTTGGTACAACATGCGGTGTGATGTGAACCCGTCTCCAGCTACTTCCATTGGAGGCAGTTCTATGCGTCACCTTGATTACCCCTTTTTAATTGCCTCAACATCTTGATTCAGTGGTCGTCCTCGTTTGCGTGTAGTTGGAGTATATACCTTTGGGTCTTTGTGCATCAATACATCTGCTATGGTTAATTTAAAGTCAAGCAATGGAATGTAAATATCTTCACCCTTTTGTCTAATGACTCTCCGCCATAATAGCCAACTATTCACGCAACAGAGATCAATGAAATGGAAGAACAGGCGGTGGTACCATTTTTTACTGCGGATTTTGATCCTATAGAAGCCTAACATGGCATCTAGTAAATCGACACCGCCCATGTATTTGTTATAAATTGATACTGCTTTTGGGCAAGGAACATCAACTCTACGCTTATGTTTTTTGGAATATCTTTTCACAACTCCCTTTGGTTCCTTGCCTACGTAGGATGAACACAAACTGACTGCTTTATTGTCGACCCAACTGGTAACTGATAGCTTAACGTTATCAACAGCAACACTTTTTTCGGAGCAATAACCTCGTTCTTTCTTTTCTAAAGCATTTTTAATTATAATTATATTTGGAGCTCTTCTCAGTTGTACTGTGCGTAATGGCAGAATACCTCTTTTGTGCAAGTTTGCCATTAGCTGCAAACTTGTGTACCAGTTATCGACAAAAATCTTGTGGTTCAAATTGTCTGAGACAGTCTCCAATAGTCTTTGAACCACATTTCCTGGCACTCCAAGATTGGGGTTCTGGGTATTTTCCTCCGAATAATTCAAAGTCGTAACTAAATCCACTGACTCCGCTTAATACGTAATTCAAATAACCCCACTTATGGGGTTTCTTTGCATTGTACTGTCTGATTCCTGAAGTTCGGGCCTTAGTAGGGATCATCTGTTAGTCAATGGACAAAAATTCCTCTTTTGGCACTTTTAGCAGTCTTTGGCGTAGGATTTTCATAAGTGGGCGTATTTTCTGAAGCCTATCAAACTGCGGGTCAGTTTTAGTTCTTTTGTTTTGTCGAAATAATTCAGAAATCTTTTAATCTCTTCGAATTTATTGCACGTCATAACATTTGCAACTTTTTCAACATATGTGCCCTCCTTCCAGTAATGACGAGTAGGTGGCAGGTGTACTACCGACATGTAGATAATAATACCAATAAATTTATAAATGTCTTTATGTGTCACTGAATGCAAGTTTTCGGGGAAAATTTGTGCTGCATATATGTTGCTTTCTTCCTCAATTAAATTTACAGCATATGACGGAAAAAGAAATTTGAAAAACTCCATTGGAGTATTTAGCTGCATTATTTCATCTGGAGGAGTTTCAGATCCCAAAAAAGCAATATTGGATTTATCATACTCAAGATTGTCATCCGACCACACCAACTTTCTTTCTTTTTTTTCTTACTTGAAGAAGCTGCCTGTGAAGTAGAAGGTTGATTGTCTGTAAAATTTTCTAACGTCTCCATATGCTCTTCAGTGCACTCAGGAAATAACTGGTCCAGTTCCTCTTCTCCTTCATCTTCCCCGTCCGAGGAAGACCTTTCTTTTTCTTCATTTATATGTAAAGGATCTTGAGTACTGTAAGTCTCATCATCTGATATATTTTCATCCTCGCTGCTCTCTGGAATTACGACGATTGTTCGTCGAGGACGCATCTCTATTTTATCTACAATTAAAATAATTATGCAAATTTAAAGATAATCATGTATAATATATATTCAGGGCGGGACATCAGATAACTGCGCTACTTTTACTTGTCCTACTTAAAAATTACATTAGCTGCAGGGTATAGTATTAAACTTGTAAGTTATTGACGGTTTCATATTCAATACCAAAAATTGACCTAAAAGTATAGGAGTATCTTGGTCTAACACTGCATAATGTTCCAGATTTGGAACTGTTAAAATATTGACCGGAGTGCATAATGTTCCATATTTGGAACTACAAAAAACATAACAATTGCATGGTGTTCCAAATTGGGAACAATTTTAAAATGATAATATTCAATACATATTATCATTTTAAAAAAGTCAGTCTTAAGACAAGACGCGAACCATGGAACTACGATTTCGCGACAGTGCGTTATCCACTTGAGCTATTACGACCATTATTATAGTGTTAAAATTTACCTTCTTATATTGTAGGAGTTTTTCATTGCCTGAAAATAGGGATAAAACGACATTTTATGAAAATCGTTAGAGCCGTTTCGAGATTCCGATTGGTTTGGAATGAAACGAAGTGGTTTGGATGAATTATGTATGAAGGAGTTAGACTTGGAGAATATATGGCAAAATGTAAAGAAAGGTTTAGTGGATGCAGCTACCGAAGTATGTGGTGTTAGTAAGAGAAAGAATGAAAGGAAAAATAATATGTTATGGTGGGATGATGAGATACGTATGGAAGTTGAAGCAAAGAAGAGAGCATGGCTAGATTTACTAGCAACAAAGGCTGCTAATTCTAGTGGTACGAATGGTGATATTGAAAGAAAAAAGTCAGTCTTTAGACATCTTAATAAGAGAGTAAAAGAAGTAGTTGAAAGAAAAAAGCAAGAAAGAATGGATAAGAATGATAGAAGAATATCGGATAACTTCCAGGCAAATATTAAAATGTTCTGGAAACTTGTAAGAACTGCCAGGGGACATTCAAAACAGCCTATGATGAATGCTATAAGAGACGAGAATGGCTGTATTCTGAATGATGAAGTTTTGAGTTTAAAGAGATGGAAGGAATATTTTGAAAGCGTGTTTATGAGTGAGGAGACAACGTGTGTACTAAGTGAAGTAGAAACACCGAAAGAAGAGGAAAGAGGTAGAGAGATAAGTATAGATGAAATAATGAAAGCAATGAAAAGCATGAAAGCAGGTAAGGCTGCCGGATATGATAGAGTTTCACTTGAAATGCTAAGGGCTGGAGAGGAAGTGGTGGCAGGCCTGCTGCACACTTTGTTTAATTTATGCTGGGAACTGAAGCGGGTACCGGTAGACTGGTGCAAAGCCGTGATAGTCCCAGTATATAAAGGAAGAGGGTCGCAGCAGGACTGTAAAAACTACCGTGGCATCAGCCTTCTTAGCATTGTGGGAAAACTGTATGCTAAGGTACTGATTGAAAGGGTCATGAAAGAAACTGATGGAAAAATTTGGGATGTGCAAGCGGGATTTAGAAAGGGAATGGGATGTACAGATCAAGTCTTTTCCATGCGCATGATCGCGGAGAAGTTTCTGGCCTAAAACCAAAAGGTTTTTTGTGCGTTCATGGACTTGGAAAAGGCCTATGATATGATATTGCTATGGCAAACACTGAACTCATTTGGGTTGAGCGCTGGCTTGATACAGGCATTGGAGTTTCTTTATAGGGACTCTAGTGCTTGTGTTAGGATCAACGGGGTCTACTCGGACTGGTTTGTCATCCATAAAGGTGTCAGACAGGGCTGTGTGGCTTCCCCGTGGCTGTTCAACCTATTTATGGACAGTTGTTTGCAAAATTTGAAAGTTGAAGAATGCGGATTAAGAATGGGTGAGTTAACCGTCAAATGCCTTTTGTACGCCGATGATCAAGTTATTCTTGCGTCGTCGGCGGCCGAGTTGCAAATGATGGTTACTTTAATGAACGGATCATTAAAAGAAAGGGGTATGAAAGTGAACGCAAGTAAGACGAAGGTTATGGTTTTTGAAAGAGAAGAAAGTAAAACGATTTGTGAAATAAGAATAGAAGGGGAGTTGATCGAGCAAGTAGATGAGTTTGTATATTTGGGCTGCGTATTTAGCAGGGATGGGAGATATGATAAGGATATAGAACGACGAGTGAATGCGGGAAATAGAGTAAATGGGGCCTTGCACTCTATTGTGAAGAGTCAAAATGTGTCGAAAAAGGCACGTATGGCAATTCACAATGCTGTGTTGGTCCCTACTTTAACGTATGGTAGTGAAAGTTGGGTGTGGCAGAAGAAGCACGAGAGTAGAATAAATGCAGTAGAAATGCGGTCGTTAAGGAGTATGTTAGGGCTGAATCTGAATGACAGGGTAAGAAATTGTGTAATAAGAGAAGAGTTTGTTTTGCAAGATGATGTTGTGACCAGGATTAAGAAAGGAATGCTTCGGTGGTTTGGTCATGTGGAAAGAATGAATGAGGAAAGAGTGACAAAGAAAATTTATGGTGCAGAAGTGAATGGCAGAGTCGGAAAGGGACGTCCTAGGCGAAAATTTATCGACCAAATTGGCGATTTATTGAAAACGGGCCAAATTAGGAGTACCCTTAACCGAAGAGCATGTGTGGAGCATAGGTGTATGGATGTGAAGGAGGCAAGAGAGGTGTGTCAGGATCGTGCCAAATGGAAGTCTGTAGTCTCTGCCTACCCCTCTGGGTGACAGGCGTAAGTGTTTATGTTATGTTATGTTATATACAAGAATTGCTCGTAGGTATAGGATTTATATTTTTGTTTTACTAAAAGCTTTTGTTGAGTGCTTCGAAATTAGGAAATATTATTTTCAAACTTCCTGCTTATTATCACAAAATAAATCGTGTTATAGATTTGTTGTTATCTCTTGTTTGTGAATTATAGTTTCTTACGTGTTGATTATGAAATGTCTAATTATTGTAATAATTGGTACTGTTACAAATCATCAGTGTTATTAGTTTTGAGTGAATAGGCATGTATCAGTATAATTATGTTGCTTCAAATAAGTACTTCTGTTTTGATAAAAAATTCAATAGTGTAATGTAATAAAATAAAACTGCGTTATATTGTAATCAATGTTGACATAATTTATTTCCCAAAGTTATAAATCAATTAAATAGTTTACGCCAACAAATATAAATTTTATTTTTATAACAATCGTACATAGCGTTTTGTAGTTCTGCCTACTCAATCTACACATACAGAAAAATTAAAACTTGTTTTTTTACATACACGCCATCTAGTGTTCTAGCTTTGTAAACGTAGGGATACGTCTATGTGTGTAAACGACCCTATATTCAATGACAGATTTTATAATCAAAATTAATGTCGAATTGGGTTGATTTTGAGACAATGATATGATCCATTCCAATAAAATTTAATATCCGATAACCGCTAAATCTACTCCTACGACTTAATAATTTTCTAATTACACAAAACTCCAAATAAACTAAAAATTTTGACTTCAGCGCCATCTTGCGGGAGAATGGCTGGGAACAGTCCGTAGGTTTCACCTTAATGGTTTTTAAATAACGAACAAACGACATTCCATCTTGGAATGAGTTAGTGATAGATCAGTTTTCGGAGACAGTTATCTATTCAAAAAGTTTTCACTATGTAAGCAAATTTAAAGACGTATTCACGTCAAAAAGAATACACAATTTTTTTTTTAATTTCACTTGCAAATGAGTGGCTAAAATAAAAATGTGTGGTTGACAGATGTGTCACCGTCGGTGCACATGTCGGCGCTGTGTTCGCGCGCGTGGTTCCGCGCGCGCTGCAGCAGGGCGTGGCGCGGCGCCCACCACGCCGGCCCGCCGCGCGCCCCTGCGCCCTCCGCGCACTCCACGCTCCCCCGCCGCCGCACACTCCGCGCCCGCGCACACCAGGCGTCACCCCACCAGTCAGTACCACGCACTTAATATAAGTGCTAGAACTACGTTACGGCTATATTATGCGTATATCACGAACGGGTGGGCTTCACGACGGTAGGGCTACGCTCTTAAAAAGATCACGTAAACGCACCACGTCGGACATTCGTTCGCACCAGTCCCCGTCCCAACGCACACATAAAAAACGAGCACACATCCACTTTTTTACTGTTTTCGCCAAACCTGCAACAGAAAACATCTGCTCACTAGTCGTTTTTTAGCATGCACTGATAAAAAATAGTTTTCACTAACTTGTATAGCAACGGAAATACTGCCCGTCTTAACTGGCTAGTATTTAATAAGGTTGATATCATTTAAATAAGATACCAAATATTTCGGCAATTGTTTTCTAATAAATTATTGCACTAAAGTTTTTCAAATAGCTGATAAAAAAAACTTGTGTCTTGTATTTGATGTACTGTATTGCAATCTTAACTTCAAAAATTCTTGTAGCTAAAATATAGTTTTGCATATTGTTGACACCGTCTGCTGTAATGTGCTAAAAAACAGAGTATATGTTATGTAGCTGCAACGGCGGTAATATATCTAACCAAAGGTTTGTTGTGAACGCTGCATCAGTCCCAATTTTTTATTAGGATATCTGGCTTGATGTGTGCTAGCATGGAGTCACATAGAGCAGTTAAGCCCTCTCTGGAGTTGCAGATAGTTTTTCGTCAGTAATTTATTTTATTTTATAAAGGACATGATATTTCGTCAAGAAGTCTTCTAACTCCTCGTTTGAACACTATCAAATAGCATAAGAGATTGACAGACCAAACATAAAACTGTTGTGGACTTGATACTTTGAAAAATGTCTTTAAATTTTTGGATCTCATAGCAGCAGGATTCTTTTCTTATGTCAAAGAGTGATCATCTTTCAAGTTACATATTAAATTTGACACTATGGAATATGTATGACGTAACGGGCAGTTTGTAATTAGCTTATCTGACATAATATGTTATAGGGCTTCCTAAAACTGTAAGTTCTAAAACCTTTAGAAGTCGAAAAAATTTCGGCAGCGGCGGCGGCATGCCGTCATGGCGTGCATGTCTATTGAGGACTAAGATGGAATGCCTCATTTCCAGTAAAAAAGGTCTCCGGTTATCTTCACTCACCAAACAAATCACAGCGGCATTAAGTTGCTATTTTACACTGGTATTCTGTGAGAATGTTTGTATCGGCCGCTGTTCAGCCAACCCATTCATGCTACAACTATAAAATAGCTGTAGCATGGCTAAATATTATGGTTGTGGCACAAATGGGTCAGCTGCTTGGCACAATGGCTTAGCACTGAGTTGCAGCGCTAAGGACCGCAGGTTCAAACCCCGCACGGAACAGATATTTGTATCGCCTACAAATAATTGTTCCAGGTCTGGATGTTTGCTCTTGTGAAATTTATGTATATAAACTATACAGAAGAAAAGCCCCCATGATACAGAAGAAAATCCTAATGTAGAGGTAATGTTTATATATATATAAAAAAAAAGAATGGGAGCCAGGGAAGGACCGCGCTTATTCAAAATACGAGCGCGCAATAGCAGCTTATTGCTATGATTTTGTGTTTCATGTGATGAGTTTAGTGAACCAGAGACTCTTTTGATATAAACAAGGCATTCCATTTTCTATCGTAGTCAAGGATGGCAATACATTCTGACTTTTGGTCATTGTGTCATCCTTATTCTATAAAAAAAATCGGTAGCACCCACACCGCTCGGTATCATTTACACATTACAGTATTACGCACACCAACACAAAGTTCTGTGGCACACATGCCACTTAATAACAGATACGCAGCCCATTGTTCACAGGTGGCGTATGTTAATAGTGCGTTCACTCCCCGCTTGCATCCACACCGTTCAGTAACACGCACAAAAGTTGTTAGTAAAACGCTCGCCAGACGGTAGCACATACTACCGTCGGTATCATGCATGTATGCAGCCAGTAGCATACACACCGGTAGCCATCATAATCACCAAAAAAAAAAGATTGCAATGATAAAAAACGATTTATTTTAGAAGACCACTATATTCCATAACTCTTACTAAAAATAAAAGAAGGCAGTAATTGGTGTCTTAAGTGTTTTTAGAAGTTAGTTTGTATGAGAAGACTATTTGTACATGCTACATAATAAAATGGCAATAGAAAACCCTTCTGTAAATTCTTGTAGTTACTCTTTCATGTTTAAACAAATAGAAGGAAACTCATTACCGTAACATTTACAGGATTGAAAAGAGGAAGACCACCTTTATCCAGGAAAATTAAGGAAAGGGAGAGAGATGAAGAAACTTCTACAGCCGGAAAAGAGAGGTATGACAATATTGGTTTTGTGGTGTACAATAAAAGTATATTCTTGTAGTTGTTCCTTGTTATATAACAAATAAAATTAAAAATGTACAACAGACTTCAATATATACTTAGGAGCAAATGAATCGAGCCACTTCCTTTTTTCACATATACATAATGGTAAATATTTTGTTAATATGGAACATATCAATTCGAAACATATGTCGCCTAAAAGTTTATTGAATAACCTTTACAATGAGGGTAAATTATTGAATAATCACCTTATTGAATGATAAATTACTGGCTCTGAAAGAAAAATGGTAATTTTGATAGAAAATTTAGTAGGGTTAAAACACTCCAGAAATACAAAAAACAATAAAATTATTGCAGGAGAAATTGATTAATATTAAGAACCAAATGAGAAGCACCAGCTTTCAAATAAAAAAGAATCATTAAAATTTAAATTGATACTCTTAGAAAAAAGTTCTAAGGTAATACAAAAAAAAAATACAGTCCTATTGCCTTTTCTTGAAGTCTGTTGAAAATAGGCACAATTTGCTCTGGGTCTTTGAAAAGTAGGGGAAAAAGACCAAGAAGTCGCTTTCTATTGCACCATGACAATACTTTGGCGCAAACCCTGAATAAGATAATATAGTTTTAGGCATCTGAAAAAGTAGAGCAAGTGACTCATCCTGCACAAAGACAAAGATTTAACCTTTCCCTTACTGCGCTCGCCATAACAAAAAAATCTCTGTCATCACCTCAGCTGGCGGCACTTGTTTTAAATATTTATGTTTCTCACGACCTTTCATTTATGTTTAAAGAGTTTTTAGTTACAGTTATTAAAAGCCGATAAGATTTTCGATAAGTTGAAACAATAACCATAACATTTAAATGTTTATTTTATTATGTACAGCTCTTTGTTTCTAACGGATCTTGATAAAGTGTACTTACTGACAATAAATTTTGTTTTATGAATGAAATATCGTAAGTTTTTCTTTTATTTTTATGTCCTTACAATCAATACAACATATTCTTCCTAAATGAATCAAAATTATGCATGTAATAATTATAATAATTCTACTTTTTCACTTGCAAACATTTGCTAAAAATTCGACAATAGACAGTTTGCGCGCGCTTTGTAACCTCATTTTCAAAACCTTTTTGTGTATATATTATAGTGTCTTCCTTTATTTTTCTTATACAATCATATAGATATAACATTTAGCAATTCCTAGTAAAAGTATTTACTATGGTATTCGAATAAGAAATATACTATTATTATCTTATTAGAAATCTTGACTGTTATGAATTGTTCGCGTAGAGGTTTTTGTTTCAACTTTTTTATCAATTGAAACATAAAAAGTTACTGTTGTTGTAAATTAGATCATTCAAAAACATTACGTAGTAAAGATAAATAACATTACTTACCGTTTTTTGAAAGAAAATCCAACTAAAATCACAATCACAAAACTTCAACGATTACACAACTAACCGCAACAGCAGCGCAAAAGCGAGTGGCTGTTATATTTGATTTTGTCTATGTAACCGAGTGAATATAATTCTTCAGAATATTCTTTAGTTCGTTCAGAATCGAATGAAATAGTGTTCAATTAAAAATATACTGTATTTTTATATCAATTAAGACGAAAATAGCAGCACGTAATGCGGACATGAATACATGTCCACGGTACTCAACGGTGTATACCGTGGACATGTCAACATGTCCACGGTACCTTAGGGGTTTTTCATTTACGGAAAAAGTTTGACATTTACGGAACCAGAACAGGCCGTGATAGCTTTCAATCAGCACATGAAAAACATATAACTCGTACGAATTAACTTGAGACCTGGGCCGATGACGTAATTGTCAATGTACGTTGTGCAAAATAATGCGTCGTAATATTTTTTTATTTGAAATTTTTGAGATTTGCATGAGATTATTAATAAAAACAAAATAAAATGTTCTGGCAAGAGGTGAAGTAATAAGTGATATACTGTTGCCATTTTTATATATTTTAAATATTTATTTTTTATAATATATATAATATTATTTTTAGTTAACGCGTCAAGGAAGGATAGAGAAATAAACATACACACTTTCTCATTTATAATATTATTAATTTATTTATTATACACTTTATTGCACTATAAAAAGTGTTACAGATTCGTACACAATAAAAATACAAAGCATAACAGGCGACCTTATTGCTAAATCCCGAACCTTAGGGTGAAAGTGAATCAATCTTGGATAAGGGGATAATAAATTTTTCATCTTCGAAAAATTTTAAAACTTTTAGAGCAAGTGTCCGTGCTTGGCTATGTATTGTCTTTCCTCCCATCTTCTTTTAAAAATAAAAAATAAAATGAGTAACTCCTAAGCGTCACAAGAAAACGGCACAACACAACGTCCAAACTTAACAATAAAACTACGCAATTAACAATAAACAGATAAAATAACGTTCAAGTATAACAAAAACAAACAAAAGTCCAAACCAAACAACAAACAATTATCAAAAATATCGAACTAGAGTAGAGACGCGTATCTCCGTAACAAAAATGCTATCGGTACTGAGCGCGCACGGCCAGCGCGGGACGCGGTGCGGGGAGTCGGGAAGGGGGTCGCATTCCAGCGGAGTCTCAAGTTAATTCGTACGTGTTGTACCAATCAAACCAATGGTCCTTATGTATTCAAAAATAGTTTAAACAAAGTTTACATATTAATTGTTTTATTTATGAGTTATGCATTAAGCTTACAGTGTACCCTACATATATATTCTGTGCAGTTAATAGCTAGCAATATTTAGAAATTTTAAGGATTTCTAGAAGTATATTTGGAATTTGTTGTGGTTGAATAATAGTGGTGAATTGGTTGTTTATTGTTTTGCAGACCGCGTGGTCGCCCCAGTACAGAAACACGCGGATACCGGCGGCCGTCGTACGACATCGACAACATTGTCATCCCCCAGAGTATCGCCGCAAACACGCGACCCGAGATACTCACCTACAAGGAAATTATCACACCCAAGTGAGTTGCACAGTTTGAAAATTCCTTGTTTTTTCCTTATCAGGCAGTTTTTTTTATAGGATAGGGTGACAAACGAGCACACAGTCCACCTGATCGTAAGTAGTTTCTGCAGATCATATCGACATCTACATCTATCCTCAATTACAAATCAAAATGCAGATGCGTTGTCACCCGTGAGGACTAAGATGAAATGCCTCGTTTGCAGTAAAAAGAGTCTCTGGTTCTCTACACTCACCATACGAAACAGCAGCATTATTATACTATTTGATGCTGGTATTCTGTGAGAGTGTGGTCCTTCCCCGGTGGAGCTGACTCATTCGTACTACAACTATACTACTAATATAACTGCAGCATGGCTCTACCACGATTAAAAGTTATAATAATTATGTCCTCCAGAACGAATTTCGATCACGACGGTTAGTTTCAATGGAGACTTGGCATCTGTGCAGGACAGTATTATAGTGGCCAAGTGTTCACATTCTCTGTTCCTTCACTCTCATGGTTCGACGGGATGGTGACTCGACATGACCAGAGAGAGATCAGGTGCAACAATCGCGCTTTCGACCAGTAGACCAACAAGGATTGCAGCCTATAATAGTCCACTGACAAACATGAGTTTCTCCTGTTGTAAGGAGGATTTGCCACACTTGGCAGAAATTTATTGATGATCGGAATTACCACCAAACATCTCTCACCTTCGGCACTCCTGCCAGTCACTGGTACTGTCAGTTTATGCTTAGTGTAAAGGGATTGTTATTATACTACTATCTGTCGAAAGTCATGAAATCTTTTTGGCATTAACCATACTACTATTATGATACCTGTTTCTGTTGACAATGCTTTCGCATTAAATGTTCTTTTGTTCATCTAAAGGAACATCATAATTTACTATTAGGTTGGATTGCAGTTAAGACTTGCTGACTTATATACAGTAAAAGAATCACATACAAATTACGGAATCATAAGGATGTAGTGGCTCACACAATTAATAGTAACAACTAGTCTATCTGTAAGTAGTTTAAAAATGGTGACATATTTCATAATTATAAATATTTAATTTATGTTTTCACAGATGGAGAGTTATGGAGATACCTGAAGTACCACTCAATAATGGGGTTATGAAATCAAACCGGATATCCATTGAGAGTGAGGTATGTGTAGCTACATTACATATTCATCTTTTTACAATTGAATATGTGGGTTTTAACTGGTCATTTGATTATAGTGGTGACCTACCTTTAATATAAGCATATATGACTGTAAACACACAATTGTGGGTTTTAACTGGTCATTTGATTATTGTGGTGAACTACTTTTAACATATTTAGCATTGTAAAAGTTTTTTTTTAGAGATTAATGGGAGTGTACTGGTATAAATCTGTCAATCTAATGCAAGACATGGGATTTTCTCCATAGATTGCTTTACAGGAGGGATATATACCATAGTGTCCAAAGTGTGTGTGTGGGAAGAAAGTTTTGCGATAAGCAATTGAGTTTAGTGGTATTTTTTCACTTTTTCGTTTATACACTTAGATTTTTTAAATTACGCTACGGATTATGATGCGGTTCATCATTAGATAGAATGAGTCAAGGAGGTTTATATGTATAATACCTGCATATGTTGTTGAGATCCAAAAGTCACTTTTGCGAAGTGGGGGCGGATTACTAGTTAATAAACAAATGGTTAAATTAAAAAAAAAACTATATAACCAACTTCAATATAAATAAAATGAGAACATCATCAACATAGTCTACCTAGAACCTCCTCCTTTTTTGAAGTTGGCAGAAAAATGGTTTATATGTAATAAAGAAGTTTTAGTTTTAATTAGCCAGTGTGTACCTGTAATAGAAGCGAGGTCGTGATTGATTGGGTGTGGTTATGGTTGTGCAGGAGGAGGACGTGTCGGAGGCGACGGTGCAGTCGCGGCACGCGCGCGCCGAGCTCCGAGAGCGTGCGCGCTACGTGCGCAAGCAGCGCGCGCGCCGCGTACACGCGCAGCACGAGCACGAGCAGCACGCGCCCGCGCGCGACCAACCCGCCGCGCCCGCTCCACCCGCGCTGCCCGCACCGCCCGCCGCGCCGCTACAGCACGAGGCGAGTGACCCATTACATGTAGTGCAGGAGGAGGACGTGTCGGAAACGGCGGTGCGGTCGCGGAGCGTCCGCTCCACCCGCGCCGCCGATACGGCCAAAAATTCTAGTGTATGTCTATTCTAGTGCCAAATCGATTGAGAAAAACGTACATTGACCTTTCGGTCGTTTATCCAGGGGCTACAAACTTTCAATATATAGGCACTTTGTATGTAGTACTTTCTTTATTTATAATAACTTTTTTATAATTGATATAATACATATTTATTAACTATTATTAAAAAGTTATGTAAAAGATCGCTGTAGAAGAAAAAACATCTATTGTTATAAAGTACTTTATTCATTTAACAACAAAAAGCATTAATTTATAAACATATAAACATTCAAGTGATAATGTTACTGAATAAGTACGTACTTATTCAAAAGATAAAACTTTATTTTCAATGTTATATAAGAACTTTATTTTTATTTGGTGCATGCGGGCCGGCACAAAAAAGTGACGCATCTCTGGCTGCCATTGTCACGTTTCTTTTAGAACGAACTGACGTAACGCGGGTTTTGTTTATTTTAAAGGGATGAATTTGCAAAAGGTCAATATGGTGATTATATTGCTTCAAATCTTTTTTTTTAATATGAAACTGTTATTAAATGAATTGCTGCGTTACTTACCATAAATTGAAATATAAAATATAACACATTTCTCGCGATGTACCGTAAGATTTTACGATGTTTATAGGAATCACAGATAATAATATAGTTATCACATCTAAATTGAGATTTTTAAGTTTCGACTTTTGACACTGCTCATATCTGAGGTCATTGTTCGTTTTTCTCAATCGATTTGGCACGAACTATAGGATTTATCACCTGTATCATGGGAATAGTTAACATACATAAATTTCACAAGGACAAACATCCACACACGGATCAATAATTATTTTATACGCCATACAAATACTTGTTCTGTGCAAGCTTCAAAACCACGGCTCTTAGAGCTACAACTTACTGCTAAGTAGAAAAATAAAGATTATTATTATTATAAGTCACTGCACCATGGAATGGAGCCATCGAATATTACTATGAGATGGCAATATAGGTGCTAATACTTATTAAGGAATTTATACGTAGTAGAGCCACGCTGCAGCCATATTTATGGTTTTAGCGCAAATGGGTTGACTCAACCAGGGAAGGATCGCGCTCTCGCAAAATACCAGCGTAAAATAGCAGCTTAGTACTGCTGTTTCATATGGTGAATGGAGAAATAAGGAGACCATTTTTTTACTCGAAACGAAGCATTCCATCTTAGTCCTCAAAAGTGACATGCGTGATATTAGCGTGCGATTTGATTCTTAATCGAGAATAAATATAGATGTCTATGGGCCACAGCATCTACTTACCATCAGATGGATTATGTGCTTGTTTGTTATGATTATTCTATAAAAAAATACAATTCTCACTAAACTACACAGTCCTTCCTCCATAACTCCTACAATTGACTATGAGCAGCGGACAAGACTTTGACTTTTTTTGTTTATCTTTACCTTCCCAGTTATCCGCCTGAACCACAGCTTTTGACACAGTGTTTCTTCTGAATTGCCAGAGTAATATACATTAAAAAAAATTATACTAATCAAAGTCATTAACGTAACCTTGACATATTATGCAACAGTCAATTTATTGGTCTCTAATGAACCACAAAAAAACAGGTGAGATATATATGATGAATATTCTTTCACATGATTGATCCATTAAGAATCTTCGTCATTCATATTCAAGTGATATTCGCCTGCAGTACATTGAATGCAAAATGTTCATGTGTAAATACTGTTACTCATATCGCGTTTTATGCACATTTTATATCAAGGCGGCTTTTAGTGTTATCATATTCCACTACTGAACGTACAGCGCACCCATAGATTGACTTACAGGGATGTTCTAGTTGTCTTAATTACCACACTTGAAATAGAAATAGAAACTTTTTTATTCAATGTAGATTATAAAAATACTTATTGAAAGTCACTTTTTTAATTTACCACTGGTTCGCAAAAAAACCTCTGTCCTGGGAAGATCCAGCAAGAAACCCAGCGGGACTATTTTTTTTAATAATAGCTTACAATCATGTTTACAATCAACAACACAAGACAAATTAGAAATAGCTTGGTAGCGATCACCCTTCCCACGGGTTATTATCATCTATAAATTCCTTAATATTATAATAACCCTTTTTATACAAACTTAGTTTAATAACATTTTTGAACTTTGTGTATGACAAATTTTGTATATTTTCTGGGATTTTGTTGTAAAAGCGTATACATCGCCCCAAGAATGAATTACTGACTCGGTGGAGTCGAGTAACTGGTACTACCAGCTTGTGTCTGCTCCTAGTATTTACAGAATGAATATCACTTATTTTCGCAAAACTACTTTTATTTTTGTGTACGTACATTACATTTTCATAAATGTATTGAGAGGCCAGAGTTAATATATTAATTTCCTTAAATTTTTGTCTCAGTGACTCTTTTGGTTTTAAATTATATATTGCTCTAATGGCCCTCTTCTGTAAAATAAATATAATTTCAGTGTCAGTCGCGTGTCCCCATAGCAAAATACCATACGACATAATGCTATGGAAATAACTGAAGTAAATTATTCTAGCTGTTTCAACACTGGTAAGAGTTCTAATCTTTTTTACAGCATATGCTGCAGAACTAAGTCTGCTAGCTAGTTTTGATATATGGGGGAGCCATTGAAGCTTTGCGTCCAGTGTGATTCCAAGAAAAATGGTGGTATCAACAAGACTCAGTTCCTCCCCATTTAAAATTACATTAGTATTGACATGTTTAACATTAAATTTAACATTGACAAACCGGTTCAACCTATTTGACATGAAGATGCTGTTGCTCGTCTGCTGTTTCAGTTTACCTCTGTCACATTTTTGAAGACCCCTAAGATATTGAAATTCTCTAACGCTGCCGCTTTGCAGCAATCCTAAATGGATTGCTTTAATTTTTTTAATGCTGCTGTGTGTGTTTAGTATGATTAGTGTAGAGAACTGGAGACCCTTTTTACTGGAAAAGAGGCATTCCATCTTAGTCCTCAAGGCTGACAACGCATCGTCATTTTGATTCGCAAACGAGGGTAGATGTGGATGTCTATGGGCCACAGCAACCACTTACCATCAGGTGGACTGTGTGCTTGCTTGTCACCCTTTTCCTATAAATAAAAAACAAATTGTCATTTTAAGGCTATGCCTTTGATGTTTCCGAACCAGTGGTAAATTTAACATAGTGACTTTCAATAAGTGTTATTTATAATCTATATTGATTGTGATTAAGACTAGGTACTAATTCTTTGCTAATACCTCGCTGGTGCTACATTCGTTAAATTCAAAACTCAAATTTCTAATGACTTTGATTATATAATTATACAGGCGTTCACTTATTTTTCAAAAACAGTAACTTTATATATTTATAACTACTCTACTAACAGGACACAACAAATAATTAACAATGCTATTATTTCAGACAGTGAGACCATACTCGCCTCGTCAGTTTCCACTGACCGAGACTACCTATCAAGAAATGCTGTTGAACATGCCCCAGGAATTTCGCCCATCCAGTCCTTCACATTGGGGTAGTTCTCCCTTGCAGTCTCCGCAAGGTAATTTTGAAGAAGAAGTGGATATGGATGATTCTAGCACACTTTCCCCTTACTCGCCGTCCGCTTTCGATGGCGACGATCCTGACGATGCAGAATGGGATCCTAGTGCTGAAAAAGTTGAGAAACGAAAGAGCTCGTTTAGGTGAACCTTGTACATTTAGCCATTACTATATGAAGGATTATATTGCATGAATATAGTAGATGTATTAAACATCTACTATAGTTAGCTCTTTATTAATGTTGAACAAATGAACAAAACTGAGTTATCATAGCAGTCAGTTTATTCGTTATAACATGATTTCAACAAATATTTTAAATTGTACTTATCTTGGTTTATAGACCAATTTAAGTGTTGCTATGATTATTGTTGTAATACTATACCATACTCCTATGCTTGAAGTTGATTGCAGATGTCTATGGGCAGTATTCACTTGCAATCAATTGGATTTTAAGCTCAACTCTTTATGTATTTATAATGATTAACACAATCGTTATAAATACATAAAAGAACATGTAAGATTGTATGTTCATCGTCAGAAATTAGTTGCATTCAATTTATTGATCATAGCTATATTACCTGCTAGCCATATGTTGCAAGTATGTGTAAAACTTCTTAAATATTAAAAATAGACCTAACAAGGTTATCGCTTAAAGTCCTAAAGCTTTACTATTGTTAAGAATTTGTGTAAAATTTGTATTATATATACAGACTAATCCCGCTGTATGGTTCCCTATCTCACGTGACTTGTAAAAAATTTGTGGATCCAGTGTAATTAAAGCATCCGTTTACATTCCTTGGACAGTTCAAAAAATGTTTATAAATGAGAAATATTTGAGTTCAATTGTGTTAGAGGTGTGAAATTTTTTTGTTTATATATTAATGTATATAGAATACTTTAAACAGGTGGTTCAAGTTTTTTTTACTAAAATTTCTATTATATATAAAAAATAAACACAGTGTCCGTTTCCTTAGAGAAGTTTTAGGCCAGCCACACATACATCGGGATTCCCATTTCGACGTATCGATTCTGAATTCCGAACGCAGCAAATTCATTTAAAATCAAGGACCTATCACACACGTACAGTAGTTTTCCGTTCAAAATATTCTTCTATTCGAAATTCCGCATGACTGCCTGTGCGTTCGGATCCCGCACGGAAAAAAACCGTTCCGAACGCAAGTATTTCATAGATTTTGCATGAACGATGCGCCCAGTGTGCATCGCATGATGAAAGCGAGTAGGTGTGCTTATGTATGTTTTCACATGTAAGTGTATCTCTTTTCGTAATCTTTCACCTTTTTTGTCGAAAGAGTTTATAGATATCCATATTTAAGAAAAATTTGGATAGATAGATCTTTTTACACAATATTTACTATCTTGCAATCTAGGATGTTGAGGGGATGCATCCAGTAACAATGATACAGCAACAATGCAATCACAATCAGGAAGTCATTGTCCATATTCGCTGGAAGAATGTCTAGACTCAACGCCTATCATCTCCCAACTAAGCCTTGTTATTCCGAAGGGAAACAAATGTATATGTGTGATGTATTTATGGAATCCTGAATCAATATTCCGAAAACGGTTTTTCGCAACGGAATTCCGAATGTATGTGGCCGGCCTTAAGGAAGCTTAAACACATATCATCCTTTTTGTTAACCTTGCTACTTACTAAATATTTGCAACAATAATACTATACACAGTTCCTATATTATTCAGAATGGTTTGGTTTTGGGATGAGTTCAAGTCCAAAGTATATGTAAAACAGTTTTATTTATTGTAAACTATTTGATGTCAACTTCAGCGTTTTAAATCCGTGTTGATGAACCAGTAGCTAACAGAATAATCTCTTTCTTTTTACCTTTCTCATTTCGAGATTGTAAAACACGATATTGCACGTTGTTAAATACCAGATATAATTTTTTTCATTTTCTCTTATAAACCGTTTCACATTGCAGAAAATGCGTGAAATAACTTTTTATAAAAAATTGTATTGCCTCATAAGTAACTGAAAAAAAAAAGTTTGTTTTAAAGGGTTACCTGGCGTTGTCTAATAACGTTATTTTATGTAAATGAGACGTAAATATGCTTACAATTAAAATTTACTATAAACATTTTTCAGGAAATTGACACCACTGATGAATGATGTAATTTATTGCTAGCACATTTCTTTTATTTGTTGCATGCGAATTTTTAGTAGTACGGATGTTATTTTTAAAACAGTACTAGACTTTTTCTATGTATTTAAACTGAATATTACACGATGTATAAAGTAAATGACAAGGACAACACTACAAAAAATGAATTTTAAAATGCATGTATAGAGATTGTCTGTAAGTTAGCGTGTAAGATATAGTTTTTATATAGTCCATGGTAACGCAAAGCGAATGTGTATATATAAAGTACTATTGGGCACTGAATTAACAACAAAATATAGACTTGTCTACAGATGAATAATTGGAATCTCTATAAGAGTTGATGTCTTGTTTATTTGTAACATTTTTCAAAATTAACACACCAATATATCTGCTTGACATTTTTCTTTACACCTGTCTTGGAAATTTCAAAATATGGAATGTTTCCATCATATACAAACTAAAAGCATTAGAGGCCCTTAATGTCAATCTTAAAGGTCAGTTGAATAATTACATTATTATATAATTTACCTATTTTATATATCAAGGAAATGTGATACTTGCGGGTTGAATGGAGTGTGCAAGTTATTGGGTTATAATTTGATTGAAGCTCTTTAAGACTGATTCAGATTATTGCTGATGGTTTTAAGTTAGCGCTTTGCATTTCATAGTTGTATTGGAATACTTTGGTGGTGGGTATTGCTTCCAAATTATTTTAAAGCAGTTTTTTTTTTTTTTAATGAAACAGATGTAATCTATAACACATACACGCAAAGAAGTCAGTTTTATTTAATTTTGTAATAAAAGAGAAATTATGTTTATGAAGATTTTATTGCATGCCCGTAAATGAAAAGATAACAAAAGATTCAACTTAAATAAATGAATAATAAGTATTCTAAACTATCAGCTTTAGTTATTATTTTTAAGGTTATATTTGAAAATAATAAGGGATTATTTGGATATGAAGATTGCAATTCAATTAAATATACATAAAAATTACTTTCATGCCAATAGCTAAGCATATGTTATTATATATAAGCGAAATACCACTGACTGACTGACTCCTCAGAGATCTCTAACTATAAACCCAATTGATTTGAAATTTAGTATAGTTACTCATTTCGCCATGTAGACCGCTCACTAAGAAGGAATTTTACGAGTCCCATTAAAAAAAAATAGGTTCCGCAATAAAATATTACCGTCCGCCCAGCGAAGTGAACGGGTATCAGCTAGTACATACTACATAATATATAAGGCTGGCCAGTGTGTAGCATTTACATTTAAGATGTGTGTAACTCTATAGGTATGGTGGTTGGCAACATTGTATTGTGTAGATGTATCAGTATAAGAGATAAGCCAAAAACTAAAACGAAATTTAAACTTAAAATTTAATTTGATTAGATTATTCGCGGGAAACAAATAAATGATTGCATCTCTTGACTCAATCATATCAAAGAGAATGATTTTCGGCAAGACCAGATTTTAAAAGTATGCGTTAGTGTAATTAGCAAAGGCTACCGTTTTACAGCCTCCTCGTCGTCCAAGTTAAAAGCATTAAACCATGGGGTTTCGATGTGCAGACTAATTGGTAATACTGCCACCATTATTATTTAAATAAACTTCACACAATTCCGTAAACTGAATCAGTCTTTGAGCTGGACATTGTTAGGTATTTGCTTGTGTTTATTTTGTATAGAGAGTGACAAAATTGAATGAAGTGTTATTTTTATTGTTTCTACTTTTGAAAAGAAGCCAAAGTCTTCTTGTTATTGTTAAGTGTAGTTTAGATTTTTGAAGTGACAACTGGAGTCCAGTGCTTGGATGATAAAAGAATGTGTTGTATATGTTAGCGTATGCATAAATAAAAAGTTTAAATTAACGAGTTACAAGTTGTTTTTTTTTTATTATTTAAATAAATTGTAAATAAAAAAAATAGGTATACCATAACATGGATGTCCCTCAGCAGCGCATGAGGCCTTTCATATTGTGTTAAAAAAAATTAATACCGATAGTAATATGGTTTATTACAAATTTAATATTTAAGTACAGTAAAGAGATTCAAGCTAAATTGTAAAAATAAATACATCATAGTAATAACAATACACAACCTAAAATCACTATAAAATGGCACCAATTACAATAAACCTTACTGCTAAAAAGATCTAAATATACTTGATACAAAACTGTACACAGTAAATAACATTAAAAAAAACCTTTGATAGTAATACTGTAAAAATCTGGTTCTATTTGTGTGGTGAATACACAGCCTTTTAAACATACAAAGCAATATAAATGCTTAAGAAGGAATGTAGTCAATTCAGTTCCTTCACATTTATTACTAAGTGACTATTTCTAGTTTCTACACATTCAACTATTGAATAAAATTCCATTTTTACGATTATTAAAAGTAAAACATAATTGATAAAAAGACTATTAAAAATGAGACACCATAATCTGGATACAGATATACAGTACAAAAAAATTATCTAAATTTTATATTTAATAATACTACATACTTTAATAATTCAGATAATTTAGGTTAAATTTAAATTTTATCGATTCTCTATCTGCCGTGCCTTGTAAAAAAGTTCTTTACAGTAGAAATCCAAGATTAGTAGCAGGTACAGAGGTTCATTGTCTGTCGGATAATATAAATGTCAGAACAACTTGCATGTAAAATATGACTAAAGTGTCTAAGTATGATACAGATATTGAACAGTCAAATAGATTGAGAAAAACATTTGTTCCTAAATACATATCTCCTACATAAAGGCTTTAATTACATTATGGTTAAAGATATTTTATTCCCAAAAGAAATATACATTTCACTTATGAGAAGTTACAATAATTGAGTTACAAATGGGTTATAAGTTATTAGTAATATTAACATTCCTTAGACAACCTACCATAACTTTTTGATAACAATAAAGTATTATGGACTGCATAATTTGTTTTTTAGGTGTTTCCTTTAATTGGAATGATAATCACATGCTGAACATGTCACATGTTGGA